GGCATCAGATCCTCTGGAACTGGAGTTACTGATGGTTGTTAGCCACCATGTGGGTGCTGGGAATTGAACCAGGTCCTCTACAAAAGCAGTCAGCGCTCTTAACTACTAAACCATCTCTCCAGACCCCTAAATAAAATATTTTAAAAAGTTAAATATATACCTTTTGTATCACCAGACAATCTGTTCATAAGTATTTACCTAAGAGAGATGAAAGGACAGGTGCATACAAAGACCCACTCACAGAGGAATGGTAATAGCAGTGTAATTTGTAATAGCCCCAAGCTAGTATCAATCTAAATCTTCATCTGTAGGTTAAATGTGTTAACAAATTATGGTATATTTGCATAGCAGAACAGGACTTGATGGTGATAAGAAATGAATTATTGATATACACAATGAAGATAAATAACAAACTAATTTTGCTATGTGAAATAAACCAGATTTTTTTTTTTTAAAAAAAAGGCTAAGCTCAGTAGAACAGTTGACTAGCAGTGTGAAGCCCTGGGTTTGAAGGATTTTGGAGATGATGAGCATGCTCATTTGCAATGATGATTCCATGGGTGTACACACGTGTCAAAATTTGTCCAAGTATACACATTGAATATAATTAGTTTATTATCTATCAATTATGCCTAAATACAGCTTTAAAATGGGCACAGGCCCACTAAAGGAAACAATGACTGGTCAAGAGGCACATGAAAATATATCCAACATCACCAGAGAGATGCACAGTAAGATCCCATTCATAATCATGAAAATGACAAGAAATAAAAGGAGTAGGAATGGGAAGCATTAGTGATTGTGGAGATGTAAGTGCTACAGCAGTTCTGGGTAACAGTTCAGTTTTTACAAAGTTAAGCATGTTCTTGGGCTGGAGAGATGGCTCAGCGGTTAAGAACACTGGTTGCTCTTGCAGAAGACCCGGGTTCGAATCCCAGCACCCACATGGCAGCTGACAACTGTTCATAACTCCAGTTTGCCCAAAAGGGATGCACTTACATACATGCAGGCAATACACTCATACAAATAAAATAAAAATAAATAAATATATATATATATAAAGTTAAACATATTAAGTATAGTCAGCAGTTCTACCCCTAAATATTTATCCAAGAAAATTTTAAACATTTTTGTAGAAATATTTGTGTCTATACGTTCTTAGGCAGCTTATTTATAATAGCTGAGAACTGAAAACAATATAAACTCTACCAATTGGTGAATGAAAAATAAATTTTCATGTATCTCTACAGTGGAATACTACTCAGTAATAAAAAAAAAAGTACTACCAGTACATTCAATACCATGGACAAATCTCAAAAACATGTTGGGTGAACACAGCTAGAAACAAAAATAGAATGCATATGGTTCTTTTTATATGAAATAGAAGAAAACCCAAACTAATCTTTCTGTGACAGAAAACAAATCAGTAGCTGCCTGAGTATGGAGGTGGAGGCAGGAGTTTAGTGAAAAGGACAACAGGGAACCCTTGGTGCTAATAGAAATGTTCTGTCTCTACATTGTTGTTATGTGGGTGTATACACTTGTCAAAAGATTGACCTCATATACTTCAGATGTGTTCCGTTTATTTTATGTTAATTATATTTCCACTAAGTTGACTTTTTAAAAAAATAATCCCAGGGGCTGGAGAGATGGCTCAGTGGTTAAGAACACTGGTTGTTCTTGCAGAAGACCCGGGTTTGAATCCCAGCACCCACATGGCAGCTAACAACTGTCCGAAATTCCAGTGCCAGGGAATCTGACAGGCTCTTCTGACCTCCGCGGGCATCGCATGACATGGGAGCATGTACCTACACACAGGCAATACACGCATACACATAAAATAAAAAAAAATAATAATTTTTTTAAAAATTCCCAGAGCTGGAGAGATTAACAGAGCTCAACAGTTAAGAGTGCTTGCTGCTCTTGCAGAGGACCCAGGATAGGTTCCTAGCACCCACATTGGGCAACTCACAACTACCTGTCACTCTAGCTCAGGGGATCTAACAGCCTATTTTGGCTTCTGAAGGCACCCATACACACAGGCATACAGACATACGTGCATAATAGAAATAAAGTAAAATAAGCCCCATTCAAAAATCCCTGCCACCACTGTCCAGCCACTCATCGTTTCTCATTTGCATGAAGCAGTGGGATTCCCATTATCATTTTACTTCTTCAAACCCATGCAGTGTGATGTGACCTGTGAAACAGAAGCATGACTGCACCACTCTCAGCATATGACCCCTCAGTTGCTCATCAGCATGGCTCCTTAAAGTGGCCAGTAAGTGCCTTTTGTCTGGTCCTTGCCTGGCATTTAGCTCATCTAATGGCGCTTCTTGCCTCTGTCTGTGCTTTCCGTTCTCAACATGCATTGTGTTAATTTAATTTCTTGTGATTATAGTCATTCTCTACCCTAGTACACAACTGTTTGCCCTTCAAAACTCCATAGCTTCTTGCCCAGAAGCCTGCTTGCTGCCTCCCTCCCTCCCTTCCTCCTTTCCTTCCTTCCTTCCTTCCTTCCTTCCTTCCTTTTCTCTTTCTTTTTTGAGACAGGGTCTCCCTATAGCCCAATCTGGCCTGGAACTCCATAAGTAGACTAGGCTTATCTCCATTTCACAGAGATTTGCCTGTCTCTGCCTCCCGAGTGCTGGAATTAAAGGCAGGTGTCACTGTGCCCTGCTCTCCAGAGAACTCTCATTAATATAGGTACCTGCCAAAGACATGGGGAAATTTAGTTAAGATATTAGTTTAGGGAGTTAAAGATGAAAAGTAGCTTAAGAAAGAGACTCGCTGCCATAAAAAGCAGATTGCAAGACATTAACAGTTGCATAATGTTCAATATTTGTAAATCTTTGTGGCTACAATCTTTATGAGAACAATGATGTTATCTGTCTTTATACAAAACAGCACAAACCCCGTACAAACAGATGGTCAGTGAATGAAGGAATGTGAAAATAAAATAATGAATAGGGGCTGAGAGATGGCTCAGCACTGAAGAACATTGGCTGCCTTACACAGTACCTGGGTGCATTTCCCAGAACCTACATGTGGCTAACAAGTATCAGTAACTCCACTTCCAGGGGATCCAGTGCCCTTTTCTAGCCTCCATGGACAGAAAAGGCATGCCATGCACATAACATGCAGACAAAACAGTCACACACACACACACACACACACACACACACATGTGCACACATGCACTTGTGCACGCACATACAAGTTCAGCAATCATACACATGCATAAGCATGCATGCTCTATACCTCTAATTTAGTTATCATTTGGAGTAGTAATTCTGAATTGTTCTGATCAGTATAAAGCACTAACAGACCTTAATTGTTGCATGGTGGAACTGAAATGATTGTACTTTGCGCTACCAGACATAATTTTGAATTAAAAAATCTAATTTTGTGA